AAAAAAAAAAAAAAAAAAGATTATATAGTAGTTGTGGATGTAGTTCCCTGCACCACAAAATAAGTAAGTGAATTAAAAAATAAAGTTCATGTTTACTCCTTCAACACCTGATGTGTGCCAGGTGTGTGCTCAGACAGATGGCAGGAGCCTTGGGTCCACACAAGTTCCAAAAACTCTAAGTTCTAACTAGGTACGTCCAGCGGAAGGCCCCCAAGGTTCTGCCCTGAAGGAGTGAAGTGTGATGCAGGAGAGTGTTCAGGGAGGGTCTGAGAAATGGATGTTTACCTGAGACCCAAGGAAAGTCGGCCTGTCTAGTAAGGCCAGAGGCTGGGCAGCTTCAAGAGGAGGGAATGAAGCTTTGAGGGCCCAGGGTCAGCTGGCCACCTGGAGTGTCCTGAAGGACACAGAGTGGCTGATGGAAAGCTGGGGTTTAATGGCATATTCTGCAGCCCCCCAATAGCTCTGGGACTGATGTAAATAGAGCAGCAGGCTGCCGTGTTTACAGCTTGGCTCTGGAGCCTGTGTTGGGGAGGTAGGATGTATGCATGCTCCCATACGTGTGCGACATGACTGGAGCCCAAGGAGAGTTGGTGGTGTTTTGAAAGGTGCATGCTCAGGAGATACTGTTGTGGGGGGATGAGGAGGAGGTAGCGATGCACTGAATGTGGGGTCCTGGTGGCTGGAATAGCAAGAAGGAGGAGGGGTTGATGGTCTGACTCTCAGGTTCTCAGCACTCTGAATGGCATCTTCCAGCCTTTCCCTTCAGGAGCTTCTTTTCTTTGATTTACTGCTCCAGCCCTAGCACCTGCAAATAGTGGCTGACACCTAGCAAGTGCTTAGTGTTTGTTGACTGAGTGGGTGAAGGATGCCTTCCAGATTTTTCTGGCTTGAACAACTGGTGGGTGGGACTCTTTCCTGATATTAGAGCACCCGAAAGGGAGCAGGTGTGGAAGCAGGCACAGCAGGTGATGGCCAAGTGTGTCAGTGTGTTAGGAAGCAGAAAGAAATCAGATGGCAAACACCAAACAAGAGAAACATTTGCAATTTGTAAGGTAAACACCATCTTTAATGTGTAAAGAATACATGAAAGATAATTGGGAAATGTCACCAATCAAGTAGGTGGCAGTACAGATATGAACGGGCAGTTCACAAAGGTCACAAACAGTGCAGAGGTACCCAGGAGCGTGTCCAGCCTGACTGCTACTGCAGCGCGCAGCCTAAACGGACACAGCAGTTCTCCTCGTGAAAGCTGAACCGTGTCAGATAGTAAGTGTGGTGATAGACTGGTTGGACAGACCTGTGGAATTTTGCAAAGCAATTTAGCAGACTACCAGATGCTTTAAGATGTTTACATTTTTGATTGAATAATTCTGTTTTTGGAGTTTACGATGAAGAAGGCTGAGAAAAGCCACTCCTGCCATGCACCCATCCCCACATGTCCACCTGACTCTGAAGCATGGCATTCAGAGATGTGCAACCTGGGCACAATGCTGACAGGGTAGCTGAAGGATGGGGGTGGACTGAGTGTTCTGGGGATGTTGTGGGCTGGGAAATGTGCCTATAAATCTGTGTTGAAATGTATGTTTTTCTGTTGTGTTTCCAGATGAAGACAGTCAGTGTGGCCTTAGTTCTGTGCCTGAACGTCGGTGTGGATCCCCCAGATGTGGTAAAGACCACACCCTGTGCACGCTTGGAATGTTGGATTGGTAAGTGCCAGCCCTCTCTGAGACCTGCTGATGTAAATACAGATGAATGCATCTAAAATTATTTAAAAGTTGGTAGGTATAACTCCTAAAAGAAATAAAATCCTTTAAATAATTTTAGATGCATTCATCTGTATTTTATAGAGAATGTATTTTAAGGAACATTAATAAAATATTGATTATGAGTTTATAATTTTTTCTTTTTACACTTTCTCTATATCTGGCACATCAAGTAGCTATACACACTTTAGAAATCAAATGACTTGTAGCTACATGCAGATTTTTACAGAAAAGGTGAATCGAGCCATTTCCAGTGAAGCCTCACATAATATATGGTAGAGCAGTAGCCAGTGTTTGTTGGGTGCTCACAGTGTGCCAGGCACTGTTTACAGCACATCACACTTATGAAACCGTGCAGTCTGTGCCGTAACTGTGTGGCAGGCTCTGTTACTAAGCTGCGTTTTAGAACTTAGGAAAAGGAGACACAGAGATGAAGAATTTGCTCTTAAGTTGTCCTGTGAGTAAGTGGCATAGCTGTGATTTGAACCTTTGCAAAGTCTAGAGACTGTTTTTTAAAAACGAAATTGTGGTGTACTACAAACTACATACTACAAACACCCCTCCAGCCATTCTTAAGTATACTATCAGTGGTATCAAGCACAGTCACATTGTTGTGCACCTGTCAACAACATCCCAGCTGCGACTCTATGTCTACCACTCCACAGTCGTGTTCCCAGCCCCTAGAACTTTCATTCCATGAGTATGAATGGGCAGTTCACAAAGGTTCACAAACAGTGCAGAGATACCCAGGGACGTGTCCAGCCTGAGTGGACACCACGAGTTCCAGTACTTGTAGGGAATCTCCTATATTTGTTGTCACATAACATTTGTCCTTTGCCTTCTGGCTTACTCACTTTGCAGTTATCCAGGGCATCCAGGTTGTGGCAGATGTCAGATTCTTGCCTTTTTAAGGGTGAACGATACTCTGTTACATAGATAGTCCACTTTTTATCTGTTTATAGCAAATGGGCATTTGATATGTTTTCACTTTTAGCTATAGTGAACAGTGTTGTCAAGAACATGGATATACAAGTTCCTGTTTGAGATGCTGCTTTAGTTCTGAGTATATATCCGGAAGTGGAATTGCTCCATAATGAGTCTAGTTTTAATTTTGTGAGTAACTGCTGTACCGTTTTCCACAGTGGCTGCACCATTTTACATCTCTGCCAGCAGAGCACCAGGATTTCAGTTTCTCCACATCTTTGCTACTTACTTTTTTTTTTTTTTTAATAATAGCCATCCTAATGGGTGTGAGGTAGTATCTTGTGGTTTTGATTTGCATTTTCTGAAAGATTTGTGATGGGGGGCATCTTTTCATGTGCTCCTTGGTCCTTAGCCCATTTTTGAATTGGGTTGTTTTGTTGTGGAGTTATAGGACTTCTTCCTATATTCTGAATATTAAGCCCAGATGTGTGGCTTGAAACTATTTTCTCCCATCTGAAACTGTGTTCTTTGGTATTACGTGCTGTATCAGCTGTGTTGGATATAGTTATATGCAGTGCAGTTCACCTTCTTGGCTCTGACATTTGTGTGAACTTAAACAAAACATACAGTACATTTGTGTCACAAATACCATCAATGTGCAGAATATTTCTGTTGCATTAAAGAGAGCTCCCTCCTTCACCTTTGTGGTCAGTCTCCTCCCTTTCCTTAGTTCCTGGCAACCATTGATCTAATGTCTCCACCCAACAGACAGCAGGTAAGGGAAATTATGTCTCCTGTAGTTTTTGTCTTGTGTCTTTCCCTGAGCAGAATGCATGTGAGAGTCATGAAGCGGAATCCATTTGTACTTGGTTCTGTTGATGCCATCTGTGTGCATGTACCACAGTTGTTTACCCATTTACCTGATGGAAATTTGGCTTGTTTACTGTTTTTGGCAGTTATGAAGTTTCTATAAGTACTTGGTCTTTGTGTAGACTTCTTTTGGACACATATTTAGGACTGGGATTATTAGGTCATGTGTTAAGGAAATATTCAATTTCTTTTTTTTATAGTCTTGATTGGATATCTTTGCGTCCCTACAATCCAGCAGTGTTTCATTCAATAAAACAGAGAAAAAACAATTTTTTCTGTTATTTGTTTTGAGTCAGGGCTCCCTATGTAGTTCAGGCAGGCCTTGAACTCACTATGTAGCTCAGGCTGGCCTCAAACTTGCAGCAATCCTGCATCAGCTTCCTGCCTGGCTATGTTCAATTCTTTAAGAAACTTTCAGACTGTTTTTCACTGTACTATTTTGTATTCCCACAAATAGTATATGGGAATGGGAGAGCTCTAGTATATGGGAATGGGAGAGCTCTAATCTCTCCACATCCCCACAAGCACTTGATACTGTCAGTTCCTAAAATATTTTTTTAAAAAAAGAGGCAAAAAATGTTTTTTATGTTTACTTTCACATTTGCCCATCTAGGAACTATTTCTTTTTTAGATTTTTTCTTAGGATTGTGTAGTATAATCCAGATTGGCCTTGAATTGTCTGTGTAGTTCAGGTTGGCCTTAAACTTGGGATTTTACTGCATCAACTTCTGGACTGCTGGGATTACAGGTGTTTATCATTGCATTTGGTTGGGGACTAATCTTTTTTATTTGAATAGGTCTAATTTTCCATCTGGTATCCTAGTTGTTCTGCTGGAAGACTTCCTTTCACATTGCTTATACTGCTGGTGTGCAGGCATTGGATTTCCCCATATTTTTATTTGAAGAATTGTCTTTATTATTAAAAGATATCTTTCTTGTTTATGAAATTTTGTGCTGACATTTTTCTTTCAGTGCCTTGAAACAGTCATTTGTTTTCTGGCTCATTGATGAGAAGTTTACTGTAATTCTTGTCTTTGTCTCTGTTTTTCTCTGATGGTCTTCAAAATTTTCTTTTACTTTTTAGGTTTTTAATAACTGCTGTATGTCATAACTGTGGGGTTTGGTTTCTGGGTTTTATTTTACTTCTTTAAGGTTCTTTAAGATTCTTAGATGTGTAGTTTGATGTCTTTTTTTTTGGTACCGGGAATCAAACTTAGGACCTTGTACATGGCGAGGCAGGCACAGTGCCACTGAGCTAAATCCCTGGCCAGTTGTCTGTTGTCTTAATTTCTTTCCTTTATTTATTTTCTTTCTTTCTGTCTTTCTTTTTTGTTTAGATGTCTTAATTTTTAAAGAATTTCCCAGCCATCATTTCTTTGGTCCTGAGGATTGGACCCACTGTTTTTCCTGTGGTAGCCAGCCTCTGCCTAGTGTCAGTACGCCTTTTTGCCTCTTCCCTCACAGCTTTCTCCATGATCTTTACCTGATTCTTAGAGTTCGTGGTATCCACCCTGAGCAAGACAGGCCTTGTCTCCATTTCTCTCCAGCGGCAGAGGGTCCAAACCTGTGTCCTGAGTCTTCTGCTTTTGCCCTTGGACTCTGGCTTGTGCTGCCTGGGAGAAAGGCCTGTGGAGGCAGGTGGGGCATAGGGTGCGGCCCTGGTGGGGGAGTGTTCTTCTGCCTCACTCCTGTGGTTTCTCAGGACACCCATGAGAGCTGCTGTGGGGTGGAAACCCCTCTCGTTCTAGAGCCTGGCTGTTCCCCACTGCGGTGCTGGCCCACAGCTGGGCTGTGAGGGTTGGTTTCTTTGACTGGCCCATGGCCTTCCAGGGCAGATGTGGTACAGGTGTCTGGTCTCTGTCCGAGGGAAGTAGACTTAGAAAATTAAATTTACTTGGCTGTAGTCTTTTGTCTGATGAGCACAAGAAAAGTTACGATGTTGATTATGTACCTTTCTGTGGATAGGAGCAGGGGAATCCTCCACAGCTCTGCAGCACTCTACATCCCAAGCTAAAGCACAAGTTCCCTTTATTACTTTAACAAAAAACATAAATTATTCTAATCTTTTTAAAAAATGGCTTTTGATGCATTATGTGGCTATCTTACTGTGTGAGTATATTTTGGGATGGCGGTTTTTCTTACAGCTGCCCCGCCCCCAGCCCAGAGTTTTCTGTGTCCAGTTTTCTCAGATGTTTTCTCAGCTTATTGCTCTCCCCTGGTAACAGTGCTGGTTGATGTCAACCTCTTAGCCTCCAAGGACTGTTTCCACTCCATTTATCCCTTACTGCAGCTGAGTTTAATCATTTGCTTCTGTTTTGTCCTTTTTATGCTTAGGTTAGGTGTTAGATGACGAGTGTTGCTCCTGGATTCTGTGTGAGCTCCTAAGGATGTGCCGCTTTGCTAAGGTTGTGTGTCCCTGCTAGGATGCGTTGGTGGTGGTATCTGAGGATAAAGGAGCAGCAGACTTTGGTTTTTATTCGATTCTCCAGGGTTCTTTCACCTTTACCCTCCCTCCACAGCATCAACTTTGTAATAATATATAAATATAATCAACTTTGCAATAATTCCAAAGGGTTTTGAGTTGAGAAGGATATGTGTTTTTTCTGTGTCTCTAAACAAGCTGGCTGGAGACCTGACAAGGCCACCTATATGGTGGGAACAGTGATCCGAGGGAGGGGAACAGGACGCTGGGGTACAAAGAATTCTGAGGAGGGTGAGGTAGGGTGAGGGGACAGGGGGAGTCCTGGAGGAGCTCCTGGTCCACTCTGTCAGAGGCTGAACGCAGGTGGCTGAGGAGCAGGTTGAGTGCAGTGGCCCAAGCGGGGAAGGATGGCGAGGCAGTGCAGGTCACGAGGCAGCTTGGATGGTGAGGCGAGGAGAGAGGTTCCCAGTGACTGGTGATGGGACCCAGGTTGGTGATGGGTTTCTTATGTCTTTCTCAAAATCAGAGCAGGTGGGTAGGGAGGGGCACGACAGAGCCTCCCTTACAAGACTGGTGTGATCACGTAACTTGCAAAGGTGTTTCTGTTTAGGAGGCACCAGTCTTTTATTTTATATTAGGACTTAGCATTTTGTACTCTGTCACCAGAAATCAGCAGCTTTTGCACTTTTTGGCCTGCAGCTGTGTTCATTCCATTTGTGCTGCACTT